ACACCGCACCAGCTTCCCAACCCTCCGACCCCAATCTCTCCCCCCCCCCCAGCGCCGCCCAGCCGGCTTCAGTCCCCGCCGCCGCCGCCGCCGCGCGTGGTGGCAACCCCGAGTTCCTTCCCCGCTGCTAACTTTCTGCCGGGAGAGAGGAGAGGCGCGGAGGGGAGGGGCGGCGAGGGGAGGGCGGCGAGGGGCGGGGCGCGCGCCCGACGCCGCCGGGGAAGGGGAGTGCGCCTCTCCCGCGCGCGCCTGCGGACGGGAGGGAGGAGAGGTGGGAGAAGGGGAGGGGGGGATCCGGAGGCGTGCGCCCGCCCGGATCGGGGAACACCACCCCGGGAGGGAAGCCGGGCTCCGGCTCCCCAACCCTCTCCGGGGCGCACGCCAGCCACCCGCGCGCGCACCGCGCGCTTTTTGGGGCGCTCCTCCTCACCACGCGTGTACCCCCCCTCCGCGGGGAGCGACGGCGCCGCCCAGGTCCCCCAGGACTTTTCGGGGAAACCGAGCTCCCCCTCACACACACACACACACACACACACACACGTGTCCAGGGTCTCTGCTTGCCGAGCACGGCGAGGCTGGGAGAGGGGGCCCGGGGCTCGGTGGGGGGGTGGGGGGTAGGGTGCCACTGAGTCACCAGCGCTGCTCCCCGCCTTCCTCTTCCTCCCCGCCCCCCCCACCCCGGGACTGCAAGCAAAACTCAGCCCATCCCCAAGTCCTGTGGTCTTCTCACCCTGCCTCAGGGGTTCCTTCTCCATCCAGCACCCGCTGTGCCCAGCCCAACTCCCATCTTTGCAGCCTCCCCATCTTCCCGGGCGATGGGTGGAGCTTTGGACACAATTGCCCGGACCCCCAAACACACACACACACACACACACACACACACAGCATCCGCCTCCAGCCCAGGACCTGGATGGAGACGGGGTATACGCTCTGGCTCCCAGACATCATGCGTCTGGCCTCTGTCCTACACCGCCACACCACAGGTGCACTCACCTGTGCCTCACTGAAGGCATCCTCAGAGCCGCCCACCCACCCCAGCCCCCCTCCGTCCCGGCTTGGGTAGACAGACAGAAGCAGCCCCGGGACCAGCATCCTGCTGGTGTCTGCGTGTGGCGGCTTCACTGCATTTGGGGTTTGTTTGTTTAATTGTATTTTCTCTGCCGGGAAATTTCTCCCCTTTGGGAGCGGAGAAGGGAGAGGTGCACGTCAGTGCCTGGAACCGCAGGAGGAAGCCACGCAGCTCAGCCAGTCAGCCCCAGCCCAGGCACCCCGGCCTCTCTTTGGGTTCCCGGGCTGCCCCTGCCTCCCTCGCCGGGGCTGGCTCCGCAGCTGGGGGGCCTGGCAGGTGCATTGCTCTCCCCCACCCCACCCCCGGCTGATGTGGCTGGCTTCACAAGGGAGGGGTGGTCTGTGTGATCACCTAACTAGGAACCACCGTTGAAAGAAAACATGCATAATAACTAACTATGAACGGAGGAACCCAGTGCCAAAGAGGGGGAAATAATGTTAATCAAATCCGCGGGGGGACGTGGGACTTTTTCCCTGAGAAGAAGGAAAGCTCACTGCTGCACTCAGCTGGACATGAGTTTTCTTCACCGCAGCTTTGGTTCAGATAAAGATGATTCCTTTATAATCTATTTTTTTTATGGTACACAAGAGACCTGTGAAATGCGGAGCCCGGTGTCCTGTAAATCATTCTATGTAACTAGGGATGGGTTGGTGTGTGTGTGTGCGCGCGCGCGTGTGTGTGTTAACACCACACAACTGCGTTGCTGTAATGCTAACAGGAAAGGAGCAACAGGAGCTCCAGGGAACACAAGCTCCCCTCAACCCTCCTACTTTACCCAGAGCCCAGCTCCCAGGTGGCTGGCCAGAAGCCTGGATTCCAGCTAATATCACCTGTGCACAGACCCATCTCCCTTTCCAGGGTCAGCTATGAAGATGTCCACATAGGTAGTGCAAGCTCTTCCTGTAGCTCGGTACCTACCACTGAAACTTTCTACCCACGCTGCACTTTATGAAGTTGCTCTAAACATGTGTTTTCCAATTTGGGAAGGGTTCCATCCAGTGATGTTTTTTAAAAAAAATATTTTTAACCCCAGAAATGGCAAATGGAAAAAAGCAGAGCTGAAATGTGCCCAGTACCATGATGCAAAGAAATAGAAAGGAGCTGCAATCGTTTTAAATTGTAAAGCAAATAAAACAAATGTGGATATGATGTGTCTGTTGAAAAATGGGCAGATCCAGAATTCGCAGCCCCTTCAGGCAGCACTGAGACACAACACAAAGCCTGAGGGGCCCTGTTTTTCAGGGTATCCATCCACATTTGTCTCCCCTGTCTAGACATTGTTAATAGGAAATTTCTTAGTGCCCTATCTTCTAATCCCTTGCTGGGCCGTGCTAGGCCTCAGTAGGGAGGAGCTAGGCTTGTTTGTGAGTGGAGCTTTATGTTTCATACTTTCCTTTTATCTGGGTTCTAAAAGAAATTATTTATTGTTATGATGAAGGTGATGTACAGAGGGGTTACAGTTACATGAGACAGGTAATGAAGACATTTCTTTTTGGACAGTGTCATCGCTCACTCTCTCCAAGTTTTTCCCTCCCATCCCTCACCCACAAATTTTGTATGGTTCATTTTCAACATAGTGTCTGCTGAGTATCACTCCTGCATGCATTTCTTCCCTCTTTGTCCCTCCATTTCTGTGCACTCCCCTTATAGAGTTTGGGGGGGGGGTTGTTTGGTTGTGATGGTACTGGTGCCTTGATTCAGGGTTCAAGCTGTCCTTTAGCTACGTTGCTCAAAGCAATCTCTGCTGGTACAGAGGTCAAAATGGCAAAGTGCCACTTACACCATACCTCTGTTTCCAGCTTTGTGCTAGTTAATTGGAGATAAGAGTCTCATGGGCTTTCCTGCACCAACTGGCTATGTATTTATCCTCAGATCTCGGCCTCCTGAGCAGCTAGGATGGCAGGCATGAGCCACCTGCACCCAGTCCTTCTATCTGTTTATGATAGATGCATTTTTCCAGGAGCAAGTCCTGAGAAACTTCCAATGAAAGAGAGGCATTCACTATGTAGGGGAAGCTCCTACATCCTGATGTTCCCAGTGGGTCTGGAAACAAGATTAAAAACTAGCCTGAGTTTCCAGAGTATTCCTCTAACCGGCCTCCAGCCACCCTCATTCTGTTTAATCCTTAAGCTGATCAGTGCTACAGAGAAATGTGTCTTATACCTGCTAATACCTTCCCCATCTCTTCACTCTCTCAATTCCAACCTCTTTGCCCTGATAGTCAAGGTTCTACCTTAATCTAAGTACACATTGCATTCTTTGGTTTTACGTCTGTAGTATCAAATGATAGAATTACAATACAGATGCCATTCACTAACTAATGGCTTTGGGAACAGGTCGTTTTGCCCACTCCTGAGCCTCTGTTTCAGTATATCTAAATTATGCATAATAAAACTCACCTGAAATTGTTTTTATACAGAATCAAATCGAATCAGTTTAGCATATCCAAACATACCTGGCTCCCTGCCTGACGTGTGGCGGCTCCCAATAATTATTTGGATCTGAATATTGGTTCAGACAATGCACGGCTTCTTTTCCTACTAGAATAGTATCCCTGGTAAGCGCAGTTCCGTTCCTGCTTCCAGTCCAGCCCCCCATACATGCTGAAGTTCCCATTCTCTAGCTTCCCAGTTGATAACATGCCTGATACCCGATCCACTGCCTTCCACAGTGGTCAGCAATAGAACTTCACTCTAGCTAGCCTCAGTGTTGTGTTTCTGTTTTTCAAAGAAAATTACTGAAAGTATTTATAGTGAAGGGAGTTAAGAAGAAGAAAAAAAATCAAGAAAACCCAAAAATAGGCTCTGGGAAGAGACTGTAGAGGCTATGGTAGTCAGTATGGAAATTCTCCCAATAGTGCCATTCTTCACGTGGACCAAAAGATGCGCCTCTGGAACCCTAGCCAATGAAACTGTGAACTGAAGTTCTGCCCTTCCAGGCTTTGGGAGACTTGGGAGATTTGCTCCTGGTTTTCCTGTCATGCGAATTGTGGAAGAGGTGGGAAGGAGGGAGCTCTCTCTGGCTCTATCTACTGGGCACTCTACCTTGAATAAGATGACAAGCCCCAATGACAACAAACAAACAAAAACAAAAACAGCCATGTTGTTAATACTTAAGACACAGGTCAGGGTTGTCAACAGAGCATAACCTAGTCTACCTGACTGATTAAAACATACAGAACTGTTGATTTCCATTCTGTTGACCAAATGAATTCATTCCTCCAAAATCAGTATTCCCTTCCACAAGAAGGGAATGCTAATGGCAGTCAAGAGTTTCCATCTGAGCAAGGGGAGAGACCCAAAAAGGAACTGATAGGGAGACAGGGATAAAAAGTGGTAGACATAACTCATAGGAGATAACACTTAGCCCATGTTAGTGTTTCTTGTTTCCATGGTTGTGTGGGCTCCTGCTCAAACTCTCCTTCCCATAATGCCCTGGATTCACCCTCGACCAATGATAACAGTTGGGAGCAGCTACCTGCACAAGCCATCAAGCAATCATCACTAAGCTCAGGGGAGGAGCCCTGTACTAAATAATAACAGCCCTCTCTGAGGATCCTTTCCTGGGGAAGAGTCTCACTACATCCCTTTCATGGCTTTCCTTTCCTTTCAAATAAGAAGGAAGAGGCGGGGGGGGGGGGGAGGAGGAAGAGAGGAAGAGGGAAAGAAAGGGGAGGAGGTGAGAAGAGGGGGAGAAGAATTCCCTTCTACAAAAGTACCTAAATGACAGCTTGGATAGCCCGTTAACTTTGTAGACTCGTCTCCAATTAACCACCAAAAAGCTAGAAGTGGAGCTATGGCTCAAGTGATAGAGAGCTAGCCTCGAATACCAAAGCTCAGGGACAGTACCCAGGCCCTGAATTCAAGCCCCGGGACTAGCACACACACAAAAAATATTTTCCCACCAGTTTAGAAGAACCCATGCCTCAAATATAGCAAATATACTTTACCAGGTGTCCTTTCCCTGTAGAAATCTAGAGACAAACAAGATAAACTTCCAAAAGAAAACAGCATGATCAAAAAGAAGAGCAATGAAGTCTTACAAAAGGAAGAAAAACTTCAAAACATAATAATAATGTCCACAAAGATGTAAAACCTTCCATTAAAAAAAAAAGGAGCTCAAGCCAGGCACCAGTGGCTCATGTCTGTAATCCTACCTACCCAGAAGACTTAAGATCTGAGGCTCAAAGTTCAAAACCAGGCTGGGCAGAAAAGTCTGTGAGACTCTGATCCCCAGTTAGCTACAAGACTGTAGATAACTCAGTGTCCAGGCCCTGAGTTTAAGCCCCACAACCGACTAAAAAAGAAAAAGGGCTAGGATGTGGCTCAGTAGTAGAGTGCTTGCCTAGCATGCTGTAGCCCTGGGTTTGATGCCTCAGTACCACATAAACAGAAAAAGCTGGAAGTGGCACTGTGGCTTAAGTGTAGAGTGCTAGCCTTGAGCAGAAGCAGCTCAGGGCAGTGCTCTGGCCCTGAGTTCAAGCACCAGGACTGGAAAAAAAAAAGGAGCTCACATAGGGAATCAGGAGTTACTTATAACTGACAAAACTACACAGTTAAGCATTCTTGTCAGAAATACTATAAATTCAAATACATATTTTAAAGGAATAAGAATGCAAAGCAATTGATCTATACACTCAATAAGCTAGAAAACAAAAGAAGCATCAGGAAATAAGGAGGTAATAATGATAGAATTCTATGAACAAGAAGATCTTCCTCCCTTTTCCTTTTCCTCCTTCTTTCTCCTCCTTCTTTCTCCTTTATCTGTGTCTGTCTCTGTCTCTCTCTCTACCACACACACACACACACACACACACACATTCAATTTAAAGACCCCATTAAGAAGGTGGCTGACTATAACCAGCAGGAGATTTCTTACTAAAGCCTAACCACACTGACACTCTGATGCTGAGCTCCCAGTCTTCTGAAAAAGTAAATTTTCATTGTTTACACTCCCAGTCTATCCTATTTTACATAGCAGACAAATGAAGATATCAATCTTTCATCTCTTGCATGTTGCTTTG